GTTTTCTTTACATGTTCAACCGGTTCAACCGTTTCAACCGGTAACGCGAATGTACCCTAGGTTTTAGATTGACCAGACTGAGGTTGAATCAGGATCGTTCAAACTCTTGACTGCTATATATGATACAATGCATTGAACCAAATGTTGGAAAAGTCATCTTTCTAGCTTCCTTTAAACAATATAAAATTTGTACATAAAACACATTATCTCTCGAGAGGGTGCCTATTATATACTTTATTGCTGAGAAAGGAATTCTATACCAGAGTTTTATTTTGATGCATATGTCAAACATGTGACGTAATAATTTCATTTTGGTATAGTGTGCATTCCATCAGATCAGATTCGTAGTGTAATATATTGTATTGAAATGTAAATATGAGACACTGTAGCCCAATAGAATGTTATTAAAATTAATCGTTATCAGTGATACATTTTACGCAGTTCAAAATGTTTTCCACCTGGAATTTAAAGGATTCTGGTTATCAGGCTGTTTCCCTCCCTGAAGGTTTTGTAGTATGGAGATTAGGTGTAGCCTAAGGTCTGATAGGGAACTATATATTATTGGAATCTATGTTTAGTATGGAGATTAGGTGTAGCTTAAGGTCTGATAGGGAACTATATATTACTGGAATCTATGTTTGTAGTATGGAGATTAGGTGTAGCCTAAGGTCTGATAGGGAACTATATATTATTGGAATCTATGCTGATGATAGATAGTCCAATTATCACCAGTCAGTACAGCTAGGTAGTTAGGTCTTAACTCATTCAACCCTACATATTTAAACTAGACTTGCCCATTCTTTGATTTGGTAAGGTTCAAATGTGACTTAGGGGTGAATGGGTTNTAGACTTGCACATTCTTTGATTTGGTAAGGTTCAAATGTAACTTAGGGGTGAATGGGTTAATTGTGGGTTTACACCCTGAACACCTATTTGCTGGTTGGCGTGGTTTCAAGTCTGGCCATTAAGGGTGGTGGTGGTGGTGGTGGTGGGAATCATCAAGTTCCTTTTGTCTGACCTATAGATATTTAAGGATTGAAAATAATTGTACAGTGAAACCTGTCTTATCTGAAACCCACTGGGATCCAGAAAATTGGTTGGGTTAGAAAGGTGTCAGATTACACAGGCTTTTCTTGTTAGTATTTATAGGAAACAGGATTTTAAAGGTTTATTGGCACTAGAAAGTCTGCTGGATTATTCAGTAGTTAGAATAGATAGGTTTCACTCTAGATGTTTAGATATTGTTTATATCATTCTGGGATATCCCCCCTTGGTTACATTATTGTTTGTCCATATTTTACCTTTTGATAGAGAGATAACCCGGGGCTATAGCAGTGAACAAACAAATGTCAAAATAAACATGTTGCCGTTGTTTTCTGTGTGTTTTGTCACATACCAGTAGCTGTAGGTGACATAGGGTAAAACCTCTCAAATTTTGATGCCAGCAAGTTCATGCTTTTATATTGAGTGATGAATTCTCAATATATAAATATATATATATATATATATATGATAGGTCTATGGGGAATCAAACTAAATAGAGTATGGCTAGTGTGGTAGACCTTTATCAGATACAAATCAGTTATTATTCCTAAGTAAATAATATCTGATGAATAATTTTGTGTGATATGAAATTGCTTTTTATTAAATATTTAGAAAGGACCTGTTACAGGAACAAAAGAATTTTGCCCACAAAGCAATTTAACCATTACTGGGTTATATTTGTAGCTCCCTAATACACGACCCATGAGATATTTTAAAAAAATTAAAAAGGTCCCCAGGGCCTGTGCTATGAANCCCTGTTGGTGTTACTGGAATGGACTATAGGTTTGTACTCTGTCACATTTTGCAATTTGGGTCTTGTACCCTTTTACAGAGTTATGGCCCTTTGTTCAACATGTCACTCAATCCAGGGCAAATCTCATATACTCTGCCATAAAACTGCTCAGTTTTGTCTGTGAGCTAGTACCTCTAGGGATGGTGGAATGTAGTATACTGAAATGATATCTTGAACCGATTATATACAGAGTTATGGCCCTTTATTCATTGTGCGTCACTTAATCAAGGGCATTTATCTCATATACCCTGTCACCTATAATTGCAGAACTTTGTATGTCAGTACTTCCCTGGATTATAAGGTCACAAACCAAAATCAGGTCTTGTGCCCCTTAGAAATACATCGGTAAATTTATTTGGCTTAAGTACTTCCTAATTTCCCCTGTCAAAGCCATGCCTACAGCTAGACACAAGGGTTGAAATCCTTTCATACTCTATTGACTGACCGAATATCGTTTACAGATTGATGCAGTTTACACATCAGTGCTGGGGTGTATCCTAATTAAGCCCCTTTAACCTATTTCTAGTACTTGTAAATGATTCTGTGAGTGTATTGATCGGTCGGAAGCAGACCAAATTAAACAGAATAGATAAGAATCGGATCCATTTTCCGCCACTCAGATTTGTAGTTGAGACAGAGAATTGCTGTTTGTGTTTACATTTATAACTGGACCCTGCAGCCATTGATCCGACAAACAACCACCTGTCACCTCGCCTTAAAACAGACAAACAGGTGAACTAGGCAGGTGAAAATTGGAGATTAAATGATGTGATTAAGACATAAATATTGTTGTAGATGATTTATGCCCGTCTGTGTTTCTGTCCTGGAGTGTTAACTGTCGTGATGTATCTACAAACACTGCATTATGGGATTATCGAAGGATGAGAAATTGTCAATGTTTTATGACTTTTCTAAAAATAGTTTGAATGCTACAATTATATATTGCATCAATTTGAAATTCAAATACCATCAACCTGACTTCGAGGTTAAAAGATACTTGATTACAAAAATAATTTTCTTTGGAACCTTTGACATGTCAGCCCTTTAAAAATTCAGCTGACACTATAGGTCCAAAGGTGTAATCTGTTATACTGACTTTTCTTAGGAGAGGGTTTCTCTGATTAACATTATTTACTGTGTATCAGGTAATAAAATATATCTCTTATCGAGGCTTTGACAGGAAATGTTGAGGTCACATGTCGTGTAAATTGAGTGTTATGAGTACCGAAACCATCAGTTATAAAGAACTACAGGAGTTCTCTGTTTACAGTGAATTGTAGGTTCGCTGATCACTCGTACTTAAAGCTATCATTACGGTGGAGTGTGACCTACCAGGCCAGGATTGATCGCGAAGGGAACCTTTTCAAAACAGTGTCATTTTCATTTTGTTCAGACGTTTTTGGTCTTGGAAAAAAGTTGAGATTACTTTATACATGTATCACTTTATTTTCATTTGTACTTCATTTCTGTTCCTGAAGGTTTTATTCATGAATTATTGTAATCTAAATTTGCGATTGAGAGGATGATGTTTCAATATTTACATTGATTATCTGTGGAATTCATATTTGCGGAAGATTGAACATGCAAACATGTCTCCTGATGAAATAACACAAATGTTTATTTCAAGAGAGAAAAAAATGTGATTTAGAGTACTTGTAACGGACCCCTAAAAAGGGTGCAGCATCTGGGATCAGCTGTTTAATGATAAGTAACTGACAGGTCAGGGGAATGTTGGGAGTTTCTCCAACTCATACATGTGCCCGGTTTATTGTATTCTTGACCAAGAATATTACATGGACTGTTCTAGTCTACCCATCTGTACAAATTGGGTACCATCATATCGGGGAGTACTGGTATCTGATTGATACAATAGGGAAAGGGAGGGCTTCTGTTAAGAGGGGATGGGGGTAGGGGGTGTGATATGTGGGGGATTGGGAGTTGTGTTAAGACTCACATGGACGGAATCTAAGATGGGCTTCAACTCTATTGCTGTAGGCTTTTGAAGACTTTGTTGTACTTTTTAGGTTGGATAATGTTTTAAAACAAATCATGTATTGAAACTTCAGTGAAATGCAACCTTTATGTAGACATATAGTAAGGCTCATAAAACCACTACAGGACTGTTTGAAAGAAGTTATTTCCTGGTTAAAGACCTAAATTAAACTGTCTCAAACCTTGAGGCCAGATGGTAAAGAACTCTGTGACATTGAATATATGTGTTTTTAATCAGTGCAGCTAAACTTCTTAATTTGCTATAATTAATGGAGAGTGGTTTGAAAAGGGAAGGATTTCGACTTTATCGGACATTACTCTAAATTGTTTTAAGATGGATGTTTTTTTTCAGGAAGATGAGACAAACATGTAAGCAGGTTTTGGTTGTGTTGACAAAGAAGGAGGGGGGTATAAAATCAATTAACTCGCCTTAATAAGGAAGTAGAAACACCTTTGATGATGTAAGTGTAACTGTAAGTGTAACATTGGGTATAAACGGGGAGTGAGGGTTAAGTAATCTCACCAAGGAATTAGAAACGTGATGATGTAACTGATACAGTTGGCATTTATTGGTAGTATTGTATTGAGGATGGCCATATTGAATTTTTCAAAAAGGTTTTGTGTAATAAATTGATGGTTAAGGGTGCCTGCCATGCCCCCCCCCCCCCCCTCCACCCCAGNGAATTGAGCATTTGAGATAAGTTTGGATTGATGGGAAGGGGTAAATGCATAGTTTTGAGAGGATGTAGGCTGGATGGGAGGGGGGAATGTACAGTGATGAGAGGAGGTAGGCTGGATGGGAAGGGGAAATGCATAGTTTTGAGAAGATGTAGGCTGTAGGTTGGATGGGGAGGGGGGAATGCAAAGTTTTGAGAGTATGTAGGCTGGATGGAAAGGGGGGAATGCAAAGTTTTGAGAGGATGTAGGCTGTAGGTTGGATGGGGAGGGGGGAATGCAAAGTTTTGAGAGGATATGGGCTGGACGGGGAGGGGGGAATGTACAGTTTCGGAAGTTTGGGCAACACAAAAATGTCCTGTATCTGCCACTGGATATGGATTTTGATTGAAGATGTGGGTAAATCTCACCAAGGAAGTAGACATTCAGTGATATAACTATTACAGTGAGGTGTTTGTGGTATTCCGTTTAAAGGACCTTAAGGGGTGACAGGTAGGTTTTATTATACCTGACTTGTGACGAATGTCTCCGGCCGACAGCCGTGTTGTAAAGATGATACACATCCTTGTGTATTTGTATTGTACTATAAGTGGCATATATGTTACCTTGCTATCAACAATAGCCTAGGTAAATAAGAATATACTCCTTATTTAAAAATCTTCGTAACAGTTTATATATATACCTAGGTAAATGGACAATAGATGTCCCACCTGAACGATCCGACAGAATACCACGGCGTGGCGATACGCTTAAAGCAGGGATGATTAGGACAAAACTTGGCAAACCAATTAATACTTGGACTGGACACCTGTTTCTTCAACGGTCAGTTTCATATTATAGGTGTAGGACCTTCTAGGGAGATTGAACGTCTTACCTGAGCTTCGTTAAGTGTAATGTATAAAGCCAGGTAAACACTGGAGATAATCAACAGAGATACAGGTGAAAAGGCCGATAATTTCTACAGAACTCACTTGGTGATTAGAAAGTAAAACATTATACTGACACTGATTGAATGTGCAAATTTGTTTTGATCTTCTCATGATTAATTCTCTTAATTTTACTGGGAAATAACTCTTCGTCAGTCTAAAATTTGAACTCCTGGCTGTTCTGACATCTCACACAGGTAAGTAAACGGTGAAGTGTTGTCTGTGCACGTGGGTGTAACACTTTATAAGGCTAGATTGGAATTCTACATTGTATTGCAGAAATATTTTGGATTTTCAATTATTTTGATGTTTAATACTTTGCAAACATGAAATAGATTAGTGACATAATTCATATTTATGACTAGTTTGATGTTTTGATACCTGCAAATTAATTACAGGTGTGTAAAATAGTTTGTGTTTGTAATTAGTTGGGTGGTTTATATCTGCAAACTTGATGCAGGTGAGTTTTCTCACCTGATGTACACACAGGTGATAAAATTACAGTGAGAAATAGTGTTGTGGTATGCAGTTGGCTGCCAGTCAAGTCAATGAAAATGCCAGACAGTTTATCTGATATATACTCCAGGTGATGGGAATATGTTAAAAAGTGCAAACTCCAAGGTTTGAGGGATTAACTGATATACATGGGTTGCTGTAGGACGAAAATGCACAGGGCTGTATGGGGAATCAAAAAGTTATGTAATATATAAAAATCATTATGTAGGTTTTTTCTGTACACATGTATGGGCTAAGTGGATTGCTGTTCAGCATACACATTCAAAGCAGGCATTCTGCTGAACAGAAACGTGTATTCAAACATAGCTCAGGATTGCCAATGGATTACACATTCAAAGCAAATAGGAAAGATAGGATTTTCTAAGGATTTTCATCGGTCGCCTCGTCTGTAATTTCTATGTAGATGTAGAAATAAAATCTTACCTATGGGACCTAATGCATTTTGGTATAATTGGAATGTAGGGTTGAAATCCCACATATACCGCTACAGATGTCGGTTACCTGTATATTGAAAACGAAATTTACACCTACTTATTAACGATATTAGCTTTTTTCCATTTCCTTATTATATGCACGGTTATTTACATTTTTTTCAAAAGACATTTTTATTATACACTTTTCTTAAGATGGAAAGTACCACCCTTTTATACTGTTAACAGGCTATGAAAAATGATTTTCCCGTTACATACCTTTCTGTTATTTCCACTGTAGTTCATACAAATTAGACCCAGTACTAAATTCACCCTACTACATATTTTTTTCTCTTTCTGGCCTTTTAAAACAAATTGGCACAGATTTCTAACTTGTTCATCCCTACATATGTAAATTAGACTTGTCCAATTATTGATTTGGTAAGGTTCAAATGTGACTTTAGGGTTGAATGGGTTAATCTGTTTTAAAACTGCACAGAATATAATATATATAATCACAATTTTCCCCCATGTTCATTTTATTCTTTTTACAAAATGATGGTGACTATCCTGTTTTATCAGGCACATTTTCGAAGTGAGTCTCAAATATTTCGGAAATATTTGTTTTATAATCAAGACCTTCAACTTTTAACACTTAGGTTTGACATTGGTTGATATACATGTTATTGTGTTATTGTTAGCGGTTAAGGAAAGTTTCACAGAAACTAAATATGACATATTTACAGTGTCCCGACTGTGTCAGGCTAGTTGTTCAGGGTCATGTTTTGTTTCACTGACTGTAAAACTATCATTAAAAATGCATGGCCTTGACAGCTTCATATTCGATTGGTGATACAAGTTTTGTTCATAAATGATCTTACTGAAAAAAGAAAATATATTTTGTTGATGAAAGTTATTGTTGAAATAAAACATTAATATATCAGACTTATGAAAAGTGTGAAATATTTTGAGAAATTTGATAATTCAGATTCAAATTTTTAGATCAATTATTGAAAGCTAACTGAGCTTTGTGAATTGAGACCGAAATAGATTTCGAATCAGCTTAGTGCCAAACACTGACTTGTGAATAGGTGCGATATTAATGATCGAATGCCTGCTGTTTGTTATATAACTGTTAGTGTCTGTGATATCAAAGTGATGTATATGTCTGTCTGGTTAAACGTGGGGAGACAACTCTAATACCATGCCAGTCGGACATTTAATAACAGCTTCAGTATAAATTAATGATTGGCATGAAATTTTGTAATACTGAACAAATGACAGCCTGGGCAATATATATCAAATTCTGTGTGAGGAATTGTACTTACTTTGAAAAAAGTTTGTTGTGTAACGAAATCTATTTAATGAAGGGTGTAACTTGTTAGATAAAAACAGCCAGTTAATTTCATGGATGCATTGTATCTTTTCATGTGCACTCTAAAAGGGGATATGTCTGCTTTATGTAATGGCAAGTAACATGCATGATTAACGTTTTATTTAGCTCACTTGGTATGAGGTACAATGGACTGTGTTTATGGAGGGGAGGGTGTCTACCATCCGTCCATCATCTGTCGTTTGTCTTGTTATATCAACTTTTGCATTCATAAAACAATACCTCCCAAACTATTGAGCATAAATCAACCAATTGTTTTTTCTAGCATCCTTAGGACATGGGAATCAGAGGTTTTACAAATGAAGGGAATGACCCTCTTTGGGGCTTAGGGGCTTAGTCAGAAGGGGTCTATCTGTAGGCTTATTAATGCTTCAGAAGACATCTACTCCCAAACTACTTAGCAGATTTCAACCGAATTGTAGTGTAGCATGCTAATATCACATAAGTATAGAATACATCTACAAATAAAAGGGTTGATCGACTTTCTTTGGGGCTTTAAACAATATCTCTTCTCATACCATTGGACTGATTTTCGGCAAAAAAAGTACATTGTGAATATGTATTTCATATTTATGTGGCCAGTTCATGTCTGGTAATAAATAACCTCACCCATATCCACTGTATTTAGAAAGAAATGCCAACAACTGCCATTTCCTTGTCCCGTAATAAGCTAACCCCCATACTTTCATCAAAGTTACGTGTTGGCCCATTGGGCTTATTACAGAGTACATAAAATAGTAGGTCAACTGTGCCAAAAACAGATGTGTGAGTTGTATGCATACTGGTTGTACATAAGGTTGTACATAAGGTCTCAATTCACAATTATTTTGGCATAGAAGCTGCCATAATCTTGCCAACTTTTTTTCCTTGGGGGAGATTCTGCATGCTCAAAATTAAAACATAAATAAAGTTTGTATACACTCCTATTGACATTATTACCATTCAAATGAGATATTTTGAGTTGTTCTTTCAGACGAAATGATGATCTAATAATATAGAAACAGTTAAAAAAAATCACTCTTTTAAAATACTCTTAAGGTCGCACCTCTCTTTGAAAACACTCTTAAGGTCACACTCACTCTTTGAAAACACTCTTAAGGTCACACTCACTCTTTGAAAACACTCTTAAGGTCACACTCACTCTTTGAAAACACTCTTAAGGTCACACTCACTCTTTGAAAACACTCTTAAGGTCACACTCACTCTTTGAAAACACTCTTAAGGTCACACTCACTCTTTGAAAACACTCTTAAGGTCACACTCACTCTTTGAAAACACTCTTAAGGTCACACTCACTCTTTGAAAACACTCTTAAGGTCGCACCTCTCTTTGAAAACACTCCCAAGGTTGCACCTCTCTTTGAAAACACTCTTAAGGTCACACTCACTCTTTGAAAACACTCTTAAGGTCACACTCACTCTGAAAACACTCTTAGGGTCCAAAATCCCTCCTAAATAGGGTGGGTTGGCAAGCATGAGTTGCAAACTTGAACATTGTAATATAAATAATTGAGACAGACTTGAGTGATTTACCAGTTCATGCATTCTTGTGTAACTTGAACAATTTGTGTATCAGGTCGTTATTCTAATTCAGAATTATCAGTCATAAAATAAAGCTATTACTTTTAAAGTGAAATATTACGATTTAATATGTTTATTTATCATTAACAGAAGTGGAGGATCCATTTATTTCCTGGTCTGACTGTATTCTAAAATTTAGCACATTAACGGTGCAACAATTTTAAAAGCAGTATTAAATGGTTTAGACAATCTTATCTTGGTGGTCGTTAATCATTTTTTTATCAAACATCTCCAATTTCAATCACCAAAATGATATTTGGAGTGTTTTGTTTTCATCACAATTCTGGTACCAGGTATCGCACCCAAAAAATGCAAATTTGAACCGATTCATTTGCTATTATTGTGTTTGTAGGGTCGCTCTTTCAGACTCTTCGTAGTCACCATCTGCCTGTTCCTTCCAGTACCTCGCATTTATTGACAAAAAGTAAAACATGATTTATGTATTTATTCTGAAACAATTTCATCACGACACATAAAATGGAAATTACGCACAAAAACGACAATATATTTACTATAGCTTGTCTGACAACTTACAATGACTCTAAAAAAGAATAAAATATCCCTATTTTGCTGCTAACATTTTTTATTTATTTTTTAGAAAATGTTTGCCAAAAAGTATTATGTTACAATTCTATTGACATGTACATTTATTTAAAGTCTAGTCATCTTTACATTATTTATCACGTTTCCAAAAAACTATTCTCTGGAATATTTTCAAATTATTTTATCTATTTAAATCTGGGTGCAAAGGCTTTGAATAATACACTAAAGAAGACTCATGTTAATTGAAATATTTATAAGATGTAAGGAATTCAATTTCATTTTGAATTTTTTTTAATAAATGAGTAATAAAGCTAATAAGGCTTTATACAATTTGATTTCGTTCAATTGAAAATCAATGAATGTGCTTGTATGTGGAAAAGTATAGCGCACTGATTAAAAAAACTGGACAATATTTTGTAAAGTTGGTATAGAAGGTTTTAACGTGGGCTCGGATGGTACTTGAGTATCTATTACAGAACGGGGGGAAACACAGCCATTGGCCATTACGCTATTGATCCAGAGACGGAGCTTGTTTGATTAAAAGTTTTTTGAATTGAAGATGGTGTTCGTGCTCAAGTTACATGTAAATCGGACGTGTTTTTGTAAAAAAGAGTCGATACCTTGATTACCTTGACTTTTAAGTTGTGGACTTGGCGAAAATAGAATAAGCTATATGTTTACTGTATAGCGTTGGGCGAGTGTATGAACGATATTGAATTCCCAATACAGGGCAAATTTCTTTTATATATTATTAT